AAATCTTATCTTATATTTTCCACCTTTGTTCAAATATTTTCATATTCAATCATGCCTATTAAATGTTTGATTATATTAACAAATATATTTAATACATTTTATCTTTTATTATTAATATTTAGTTCGAATATTATATTACCTTTTCATTTGACTAAAATCATGTTAAAATATATATATATATTTCCCTTTTAAGCTTAAGACCCCATTCTATTGGCTAAATGTAATTTTTTATTTGTTTCAATTTGTTATTTATATTTTTTATAAAAATAAAAAAATATTTCTCTTTATGTATAAAAAATGTTTATGTCATATAAATATTTATATTATTAAAAGAAATGTGTATTTATCTTATTCTGACCGACTTCTTTTTGCATTTGCATTTGGATCCTCTGGGGGAAATCCATTGGTGAACTCGCACCTCGGATGCTTTCCCAATCGAATGATCATGCACAGCCTGCCCTTGCCCCGTTCAATTTTCCTGGCCATTTCCATGTGATTTTCCTGAAAGGGGCTCATTTCGCGCCCACTTGTGGCTGCCCTTTCCGCTGGCAGTATTTCCTCGATGTTCTCCAAATCGCAAAACATTTTGTGACTGCGCGAAAGCATTTAAAAAAATGTACTCATTGTATTTTGAAAGTGAATAAAAATTTTTACCTGCTCTTCGATACCGATGGGTATTTTTGAATTGGGTTTCGTTGACATTTTTTGACAACAAAATCGCAGTGATATTGTGCTTTGAATTTTGGGGGCACAATGCGACACGCCTACTGCGAGATACGCCCATTAATCCATCCAAGGAGGATGACATTGTACAGATGCCTCGTAGCGCCGTGTATGCTTATCCCCAAACTTTGTCACAGTTAAATGACAATAAATGTCACACAAAACGCCATAAGCACTCACACACATGACATGCACCAGTCTATACGTATATATATATAAAATACATATATTATATGGGAACATATATGTATATATACAAACACTGATAGGAGACGACAAGGACATAAAAGGCAAAAGTTGTGTTCGCCAGCGACAGCAGCGCATAAAAGTTTTCCTTTTCCCGGCTTTCCCTACCTTTTTGGCCAGGCCAACATGCTCCACTTTTTTGCTGCTCGTCTTTTTCTTTCAATACTCTAAGAAAAGGTATATCCAAAGGAAAAACTTGTCATATTATATAATCTATAACATAATATAATATCTATATAATATATATATTTTTATTTTTCCAAAAACTATGTTTAACTTTCTGTACTATCAGATCCCTTACTAAGTTTTTATCTGTAACACAAAAAACAAATATTTTTTGGAAGGGTATTTTAACTTTTATTTTAGTTTCTTAGTTTTTGGTTCCTTGTTTTCATTTTATTTTATTTTATTTTAATCTTTTTTTTGTACATACTTAAGCCTGTGACGGAGGCACGTCATAACTTGGCCGTAAAACAGCTGACAACTCGGGGCAGAAAAGAGGGATTGTTATGGCACCTCTCCTCAGCATCTACCCCTCTCTTTCTTCCCTTGACATGCTTTCTCTTTCTTTCACTGACATGCCCTCTCTTTCTCCACACAGCTAGTTGTTTTAGTGGCTTAATGTGCTAAACAACTGCTCAGCAAGGACAAAGGGAAAGGAATTGAATTCCGGCTGAATTTAAGGACTAAGAAAAGACACTCACTCGGGCCTTACATCTCCCTCTATCTCTCTCTCTTTCACTCCACATCGCCCCCTCTCTTTCCCTCTGATAATGTATGACTGTGTGGGTGGGAGCACGTCGGGAGTTGCCTGTAATAAAAAAACATCATGCGGGTAGCTGTTGCTTTGTACTATCTCTCTACCTTTCAGAGCAACCCGCACAAACACATCCACAGATTGGTACAGTGAAGCCCCATTAAAGGCAACTACTATCTGTGAGATAGCCAAATCGATTCATGGAGTTCCTTAGTTTAAATTTTATTGGTAAAACCTTTGATAATATATTATTGCGCGAATTCTTCAGCTGAGCTCTTATTAATGTATATATAATAATAATGCATTATATTATTGTGATCCAATAAGAAAATAATAAAAAAACTTTTTTTAATTAATATTTAAAAAAAAATATTACTACGCTGAGCTGTCTTAGTAAGTTAACAAATTTGAAAGATACATACAGTGAATATTAAAATTGTAACCATAAAATTAAAATCTTTAAAAATATGTATTATTCCGCGAATTCTTTAGCTGAATGCCTTTCAGGGAGAATGCATATATATATAATCCGTGTCACGGATAAAATAATAAAAAAGTTATTACCATGTTTTATACACAAATAAAAATTACGTGGTAAGCCCAAAGATTTCATAATAAATCAATCAATTTAAAATATTTTTTGAAAATATATTATGACGCAAATTCTTTAGCAACTTCTTTGGTAATGCAACTTAACATAATATTTTCTTACATACATACATAAGTTACAACATTTATAATATTGCTGTATCTTCAATATTAAAATTGAACTGCACATTTTAAGAAATCATCTTTTTTCCCAAATGACAAGCTCGAAAGTCCAGCTTATAGGGTATCGACTGTATATTCCATCTGTAGTATCTGGCCTTTCCCGCTCAATTTGGCAAATTCCCTTATGCACTCCACTCATTTCTAGTTTGCCTTCTATCCAGCCTCGTTTGTCATTCATCCAATGGCCCCCGCCTTTCTTTGCTTTCTCCGCCCAAGCCCCCCCCTCCCGGTTTCTTTGTTGATAAGGCTTTGTTTTCCCTTTTCGGGGGCGCCCATCCTAGGCTCTGATTGTTTGTAAATAAAATCGCAAGTTTTATTGTCGCTGGGCAAACTTTGATTAAGAGCAGCGTCAAAGCATTGAAAAAGTCTAAGTGGAAGCAAGCCGAAATTAAATTTCAAGACAGCCGATCTAGGACTAAAAAAATCCCATCGACTAGTTGAAAAACTTTCGAACGCCACGAAAATCTGCACACACGAAAAAAACATATCAGCGGGCAGAAAGGAAGAAAAACAAAGGCCAAATTCGACAAAACTTTACAAATTGAGAGAAATTGGCAGTTTTGACGGCATTTTTATTCGCATGCAATATTATTTCGTTATTTGTTCACTTCTACGGCAGTCGTGTCCTTTATTTTGGCAGCATCTGCACTTGGAAAAAATTGGAAACTTTTTTTCAACTATAAAAAATTACAAAATGTTACCAAGAACTTGGTTGGCTTTTTTTTAAAGCCCTTTAGTTTTTTAAGGTCATCAAACCTTTTTTAAAAATACATTTCTGCGGCCAAAAAAAGCACTTGAGAATTATAAGGCACATGGGGACATATTTAAAACGGTATGTCTTCTTTCGTAAAAAAAAAGTCAAATATTTATTTGAATATATAATTGTTATATTAACATAATATATAATAGATTACTGCATATAATATAATAATAAATATTTTATTTTTAGGAAGTACCCATTAAACCCCTGGGTGTACATTCTGTATATTTTTCTGGGTGTTTGTTTTTCACCCGCGTTTTTTCTATGCGTTTGTTTTCCATTTCACCTGCGCAGTTTTTTGGTTCTCATCGTTGGCATTCCCAAAAAATGGAGTGCAACGTGACTCCCCGACGGGGGACTTTGAGCGGTATATGTGTGTAGGGGGTATGTGAGTGGGTGGGTGTACTATTCCCCGTTTTGCATTGTTTCGACAGGGCGGACAAAACACACAAATAACTGTCAAAGTTTCAATTCTTTTCGAAAGTAAAGCACGGCTACCAAAAAAAAATGGCAGAATCGAATCCAAAGCAAACAAAGGCAAAACAATGGTCGAACAAATTGAAAGCTCTCTCGATTGGTAGTCCTCTATTCCGCACTTGTTTTCCCACTTTTCACTTTTCATTAAAACACAAGCATTGCGAAAAGAAACAACTAGAATTTAAGTTGGTTTATCAGAAGAAGGTTGAAATAATTGAGAGATCTTCCAATAAAAAATAAAAAAACTGATTGACCATGACGGGATTCGAACCCGCAACCTCCGGATTCGAAGTCCGACGCCATATCCGTTAGGCTACACGGCCAGTTGAAAAACCCCTTTACTTACACTATACATTTACATTTATGGGGATCAACCTGTCATTATATTGTCCCTTAACTTTCTTGTAACCAGGAGAAATGTGCCGGTGATGCTTGAAAGTTCGGTTTACTGACACCTTAATATATAGTTTAAACCCCATAAATCCCCGTTTCTCATTATTCCCATCCCTTTCGCTGTCAGGGAAAGTGCAACACCTCTCGCTCTTCGAACAATTTTAATTATTTCCATGGGCGGCGGTGGGAATCAGTCAGAAGGGGGTGCTGCGTTCCCGACCGCAGCCAGTGTGTTGGCTTTAACGGGGAATTAAGTCGGGCAACAGGAAGTCAGCAAGCACAATAATTAAGATGAGCGCTGGAGGGGCAATTATGTGACATCAACTTGCCAATTTAAACCCCCCCACATCGGTCTCCCTGCATCTTTTATCCTGCAGTCTCCCAGATTGTGAGCACCGATGGATAATGCGAAAGGGTTTAGTTACAGTGGTCGTAAATGGGTTCTTATAAAAAGGAAAAATAAGAATCTTTAAATAAAATATTTTAAAAATGTATTGAAGTACCTCAGTATACTTAAGAACAATATAAAATTTAACAGATCTTTAATAATAGTTATAAGCTTCCGTTTTGAAGATATGTATATTATTTTATTTTATTATTATAATTTTAAGTAAAATAGATATAGATATCAATAGATATCATTTTAAACTAATTTCCATTTTAATAAATGATAGTTATAATAATATATTTAAAGATCTTTGTTTTTAATTAGGAATCGATAGAATAAGACGACAAAAAGAGTTCCTAACTAGGAATGGAACCCTTAGGAATGAAAAAGCCTTAAAACCAACTTTTCCTTAGTTATAGGTATATACATCATTGTTAAGTTTTTTATGATACATAGTTTCGGATCCAGTAGGCTCTTCCCAACCTGGCAGTCCTTCATCCCAACTCTAGAACCTGGGGCACACACGAAACGTTTGCTCAACCTTCCGGTCAGGAATTAAATCTAAATCTAAAATCACATACCAAACAGACCTGAAATAACTATACAGAACCGAGAGGTAGGGTCCTCAAGAGCAAACCTATATTATTTTTTAACCAAAATTGTCCACGGAACAGCGATTACGATGAGCACTGAACCGAATGGAGGTGTTCAGGATGAGGAGACAGTGCAAAACGTGGATGCCAAGCGATTAGCTTTGGATCGGGCTCTGACTAATGTGGTGAATATGGCCCGCCGTCTTAATTTCAGCTGCGCTGAGGGCTATAAATCTCTCGAAGAATCCTTGGAGATGGCAATACCAACTGATCTTAAGCCTATAGAAGACACCGCAAGCGCATCAACCGTGAAGACGGTTTCTGGCAAATCCTGCCCAAAGCGTAAGCCGATTACTCCAGTGCGATACACGCCCAAGGGCTCCAAGTTCCCCAAGACGGAATCCATTCCGAAGACACCGCGTGGCGTCCAGTGCTTGACCGCTCATCTGCCGGTGCCACCGCCACCACCGCCGCCCTCACCTCGCTGCCCACAGGCCCGGGAACTTTGCTTGGCCCTGGAGAGGTCCGACAATCTGAGGATCCAGTTTGACAAGACCGACGAGGTATTGAATCAATTGCTAAATGATGCCCAGGCCATCGATCGCCAGGTGGCCATCCAGTGCCAAATGCAAAGGGATGCGGAGTTGATCCGCACCATGGAAGTGGAATACAGTGGTCGATCCATGAGATTCCTCATAGAGGCCATTCAGGAGGACTGCGAAAGCCAGCATGTCCAGGAACTAAAGAAACGATGTCTGGATACCCTGAAACGCCACGAGGAACGGGAAATGCAGCTGGAATCCGACGAAGATGATCAGGATCAGGAACAGGATCAGTCTCAGGAGCAGGATCCGGAGCAGGACCAGGATCAGAACGATGGCACCTGTAACGGCAAGGGCACTCAAACCGATTTCTATCAACATCAGAATGAGATTGAAGCAACACTGATTGAACTGGAGCCTCCAATGGATTTGCAGGACCTTGCAGCTTTCCAAGCAGGAAGATCCGGAGCAGGCGATGGTCACCAGGGCCAGAAGAAAATCCAAGAAAAAACCCAGGGTGAAGACAACCTCCCAGTTGAATAGTATTTCAATAAAGATCTGATATGTATCAAGTATATCCTTGGTGTTCTTGGTAGCGTAGAAATTCAAACCTTAAAAATATAAAAAATTAATTCCAAAACTAGTTTCTAAGTCTAGATTAAAAAAGTAATTGTCTACCGAGCTTTAAAAGAAAAAATGTATAGAAAAAATTGACCTTAAATAGTTATACCATTCTGGTTGAAATTTTAAGAGGTTTAAAAATTCCAAATGAATATTAAAATATTATAAGTGATATATTTATAATAGATAGATGATAAATGATATGAAGTGGATTTTCCTTGATTAACCCTTCTTTTAAATTGGTATTTGTTTAGTTATCATAGTACTGCAGTACAATTTAGTGTACAACTCAAACTTATCAAAGACAACGATTTTATGATACTAAATAAATAATAACTATTGAAATATACCTTTAAGACAAGTTCCTAAAACAGGGTTTAAAAAAATAATGATTACCAAGTTATATTTTTTATAAAATATATTTCTAATATAAGAATATTAACAATCAAATAGACTCTTAAACAGTTATAGAACTCTAATAGTTGTAAACGATTTTAACAACTTACGTATGCGAATATTTCAAACTTTATTTAAATAAAATATTTACAAGATAATGTTATAAAATGGATTTTCCTTGCTGAACCCCACTTTTAAATTGGGGCTTATTCAAAATTTTTTCCATTGAAGTACTATTTTTCGTAAGACTCAGCTTTATCAAAACCAACGATCTTATAAAATGAAAAAAGTATCAACTAAGCTATAATAGAAAATATTACCAAACGAATCGATTACACATTAAATCTATATTACGTAAGAACGCTTACGAATATTTAAACCCTTGGTTAAATAAAATATTTACAAGATATTTGGTTGGTATCTTTCCTACGCAACCCCTTCTTTAAATCGTTTTTAAATCGAAACTTATAGTAATAGATTACTGCTATGAATTAAAAATAATTAATAACTATATTGATGAATACCTTTTGGAATACACCCGCCACTGTGCCGGGACAACTTTGTGCCTGCTTTGAAAATGTGTGTGAGGAAAGTTTTCTTGTTAAGTTGCAGATTGAATGGCGCCGGTAAACACGGTGCGGCAAGTGCAGGCTCCTTGCTCCCAGTTCCCAGTTAGCAATCACCAGTTCCAAGCTCCCAGCTCCCAGTTTCCAGCCGAGCTCTTTAGTAGCGAGGACACCATGCATCCGTGCCCCTGATTGAGCCAAATCCTGGCTCATAACTAATTGCCAGCGCCGACGACGGGAGACGACGAAGCCGGCAGCGGTGCAAAGTTTAAATTAAGTTGCGTGTCATAGTCGAAAAGTTTTCCACTTATTCAAAGAGGCACGTGCTCCACTGAGCACCACTCCACGGAAAAACTCCTGTCCTCCACTGGCCAACAACACCAAGAACGTCGGTGGATTGACAAAGGAAATAATAACTCCTGGCTGGCAAATATACATTACTCTTTTACGTGCAGGGAAAGTGGCAAATAAAAAGTAGGATCTGTATAACAAAAAATAGTTTTGGTAAAATAAATCATTAAAAACAATTAAGTAATGCCTTTCAATATAAATCATCTTACAAAGTTTAAAATTCCTTAAATTTCGAAGTAATAAATAGGCTTCATTTATTTAGACATTTAATCAAATGCATAACATTTAAATGGAATTTTCTCAGCATGTGCAATCTCTTACCCCAATCGCACACATTTGTTGGGTTTATCACACAATTTATCTTAGGATAGTTTCCAGTTGATATATGTAGACATTCAATGAGTAACATTTGAACGGAAATACGGACAGTCCTTCTCCTCAATTCGTTTTCATTTTCGGCTGCGGCGACGTGGATGGCGACTCATCAAAGTCCAGGTAATCGGCGTAGTCTCGTCGCTTGGACAGCGCCAAGGTCCAGCAGATGATCCACAGGGGCAGGAAGATGGTGCAGATGACAAAGTACAGCCAGTTGCCATAGATCTACGAATAAAGAAGTACATATTTAGTATAAATTGCATATTACAGGCATTCAATAAAACAATTTTAAGTTAAAAATTAACAAACTAACTAACTAAAATAAACTAAACAGTTAAAATACAATAGAATTCCGAAAACTAATCTTATAAACTCACCACGGAATCGATGAGCCCGTAGGCCGAGGCATCCATGGCCGCGGTGGCCGCCCTAAGCATGATCTTCTGGAGCGGCAGCTCTGGGAACTGGTAGAATGTCATGGCCAGCACGATCACGTAGATAACCATCATGGGATTCATGATCAGCGTGGCCAGGCGGATCGAGTTCCTCAGCGTGCTGCGCGTGTTCTCCTCCTTGGTCTCCAGCGAGATGACCAGCGGCACTGTTAGCACAGCCGAAAAGAATCCCAGAGCAAAGTTGAGCAGCCCGATGACGATCAAAGCGCAGCCATAGATCAGCAGGAAGGCAACGTGCAGCAGCTCCAAGCCGCCAGGCGGCAAAACCACCACAAAGGGCAGAATGAAACCGATGAGGGACAGAAAACTCAGCACCGAGGTGGTCAACGGTGCGGCGCCCATAGGAATCTCAAGGAAATACTGCTGCAGGGGCAGCACATTGCAGAGGAAACCAATCAATAGGGTGGCGGTGAGATAGATCAACACCGAGCCATATGGCAGCTCGAATTTGTCCAAATCAGAGTCGACTTCCAGTTCCCCATTCTCATCCAGCTCTGGTGCCTGCTCCTGCTCCGGCTCCCTGACCAAACCAGCAGCCGCTTCCAGTTCAGCATTGGTCACCGGCAGCGTGGACCACGTAAGATAAGCCTTGACAAAGGCACAGGCCACCAGAGCCACCAAAGCGGGCATATAGTCCCCAATGGAGATGTAGCGATCATTGTTCACGAGCACATAGAAGAAGAAGCTCTGATGGAAGCGCTCCAGCAGATTATTCAGACTCCGTGCTATTCCCTCAACGGCTTTCAGCAAGGGCACCGCCGCCGATCCTGGATTGCCTTTCAGCGTGGCATGGGTGGCCCTTCGATTGGCAGCTATGGTCAGGGAATCAATCCGATAGCGATGGAACAGACCGTGATTTCCATTGGGCACACCCGACGACTGGCTGGCCAGCATGGTCAGCATCTGGCGAAGATTCTGCTCGAAGGCGGACTGACTATGACGACGCTTCTTGCGCGGCGCCTGCTTGTAGCCAGAGGCGATGCCCTCGCGGGCCATAATCCTCTGGACCAGATTGAACATATCCAGATTAGGCAGCTTGCCATTCAAACCCTCAATGCGCACATCCACATGGTCGATTTCCAGATCCTGGACCTCAATATTCAGGGCAGCCTGTAGAGAGCCAGCGCGAGCGGGCAAATTGCCGGAACGCAGATAGGCCTTGCTCACATCCACATCCCGATCGCCATCGTGATAGGCCTCCAGCCAGGCCTGCATGCCCAGCTGCTCCTGTTCGGTGACCAGAAAGATCAAATCCTTGGCCCAGTAGTTCTTGCGCCGGGCGAAATCGGCGAAGGCCAGCAGGAGCGGTACGCTGGCCGAGATGTCCGCGTGCACAGAACTGGCGGCGCGGTAGGGGGCAGCGAAAACGATGCCCTCCGTGGAGGCAATCCTTGGAGCCCTCAGTATGCCGTAGATATTCTTGCCATGATACTCCTTGCCTCCGCCAAAGGGATAGCGCAGCGTGTAGTTGTGGGTGTGCGTCTCCAGGCCGAACTCGTTCATCTTGGCCGCAATCCAGGCGTGCGGCGTGGTGGACAGGTGATCCTTGCGCTCGCGCTGTAGCTCCTCCAGCAGCTGGATGGCCAGGCGATTGGCATCGACGCGGATCTCCGGGTAAACTAGGCCTGTTATGGGAGGAACTAATGGTTAGTGGGGCTCCTTGGACAGCGGGTCATGTAACCCACCTGGCGACAGGGCATTCTCGGAGAGATATGTCCCGTGGTTGAACTCCGGCATCGCCAAACAGAAGAACCAGACCACACCCGCCACATAAAGGGTGTAGCACACCTTGCGGACATGACGAGCCAGTCCGTCCACCAGTTTGCTCTGCGTGGATATCGACGGATCGGACAGCAGGCCCATTTTCGATCCGGACTACGCTATATCCTGTATATATCCCAAATGGCAACAACACAAATCGGGAAAGCCGGGCGAAATGGTGGTCTATCGATGCGGGCGCTATCGATGACTGCTATCGATTGCTTTTGCTCGCTAGGGAGGAGGCAGTTCGCGATAGTGTCAAAGCTTTAAATTAAAAACGAACTTAATATTATTATATAAATATTCTTTATTTCTTATTTATTTTAATTTATCTTTTTTTATTTCTTTTTAAATATGTATTTATCAGTTTTTTTCAATTAATCCTTATTCTATGTACAATTTTTTTTTATTTGATCAACATTAAGTAAGTGTATTCAATATTTTTTAGAATATAAAAATAGACTGTTTGTTAATTTAATTAATATATATTCCTTCCTCTTTTTATTGATGTTAATGTGACGACTCACTAATTTGATGCAGAAATTAAGTCCAAAAGCTGAGTGCTATTAGTTTCCTGAGTTTTTTTTTAAATCTCACAAACACTAAGTATTTTTATTTATATATTGTGAAAAAGTCAATCTATGTGTATGTGGGTGGAATATATTCAAGGTTTTCTAAAATGAAACACAATTTAAATTGGTTTCAAAAATCCGGAACGAACAAATATTTTTAAACACAATTATGGTTTCTTAATTTGTAAAACTTTATCCTTAAATATATATTTTTAGCTTAAATACATCAGAGTGTATACATCTGGTTCACACAATATGGGGCCTACGAGTTAAAACTTCTAAGATTTATAAACTATAAAAAAAAATTGTAAACCAAATATAAGGTATTACATTGCTTCATGATTTTAAATATCTATATAGGAGCCTCCCATTAAGCGAGCATAATAGCGGGAATAGCTCTGCTCGGTCTCTGCCGAAACACGTAAAGTGTACAAAACAGCGGTCAGTACACGCACACACACATTGTATTGTGCGTCGA